GTTTAAATAGTGCTTCCTTTTTTTCTGTGAAAATGATGACTTTCTTCACCCCAGCTGTTTGGTCCTTATGCAGGAGATGGACCTGACAAAAGAGTTGACCAAAAGGTCCCCCCATTCCTTGAATTTGCACCTAAAGGTGCATTCCCCACCTTTAGTACATGCAGTATGGGATTGCAAGTRTCCCCAAGGCTTTGCAGTTCAGGAGGTAATGCTTGGGATTCTGAGCCTCTCTGAGACACTGGGAAACTAYGCTGTGCACTCCAAAAAACCTTGAAAAAATCAAGGTCTCATTAGATTTAGTGACATGTCCAGCACAAACCTGTGTGTCTGATCCTTGTTCATGCAGAGGCAGCGGRAAAGCTGCAGCAGCACATTCCACAGTGATCCGGGGAAACCCTCATTCAACTCTTGGTACTACCTGGTCCAGCCCCACTGACAGCTTGTTCTGATGCTTCAGGAAAAAGCGCAGGATAACTTCAGAAAACAGGGCTAAGATGTGAGTTGAGGGAGATATTCGTGTAATGGGAAGAGGAAACARGACTGGGTAGCAATCAATGGAGGAGGAGCAGGGTGTTGCTGTCCAGGTTTACTGCCTGATCATTGCTCTGCTCTCCAAAACCAGGTGAAATKGGGTCTTTTAGAATAAAAGTAGAGYCCAGCRTTGCTGTGTTGAATCCTTGAGRCACYGACCAAGTCCCCTCATTGCTGTCCCTGTGCTGTGCTGAGCAGGATGGATTCCTTCAGCCTCATGGCACAGTCTGCTTCCCAGCTGCTGGATAGTTTTAGTGTTTGCATCCTGTGCCGTGCTTGGCCACCTCACCTTGAGCAGGACAGTTTCACTCACCTGCTGCACTGGGCAGGGTCTTGCTGTCATTCATCAATCTCATCAGAGATTTTTATCTCCAAGGAAGGTGCTGGTTCCTTCTTCCTTGCCCTGGGAAGTGGTTACTGAGACAATCACACAGCRACCTTGATGTGCTCCCCTGAGCCTCTGTTTTGCCGTGGGTGTGGTGTGCAGTCTTTTCTCCAGGTCAGAGGTGTTAATTTGCATCAGSCTGTTCCTCACCTGCCTTTCCCGGGCTGTGCTTTGCCAGGGAATTCAGATCACCCTGTGATGGTGACCTGCCACCCCCGGTACCCACCATCCATCACCTCCTGTGCCACCTGTGGTTCATCATCGGGAAAGACCCTGCCTTAAATCATTGATAATTATATTGAAATGCACTGGATCAAGGAYTAATCCCTGAGGGCAGCCAGGGAAACAGCAATGTTTTAAGTTGTTGGTGCACCAGGTTGGTCTCTGCCTCRTGGCCATGCCAGATAAGAACAACGTTTTAATGAAAATATTATGGGTTGTAAATCAAGCGCTTTCGGGAGAGGCACCCGGCCATGCCAGCCCYATAGGCCAGGGCAGGCTTATCACATCATGGCTTTAATAGGGGCCATAGCCTGAGGACTCTGGCTTATCTTTCAGAACACTACAAGGAGACTTTCCTTGCTTTTAACGTGGGAGCACAGAAAAAAATTGTCCTGCATTCCCACAGGAAGCAACTAAAGCCTCAGCCATGGGCCACATCTCATATATAGCTGGAAAGTATAAAAACCTAAGAATGCTGATTATATTTGGCCAGGAGAAATGAACAAAGGTGGAASACAAGTGACCCTTCAGATGGGTCATCCCTGCAGGAGTAAGTGCTCCAACTTTGTGACCCCTCTCAGGGCCAAAATTCTGCCGCTGGCTGTCTGGCTGGCACATCACACACTCCCCTGAATATCAGTGCCTCCAGGACTGTTCAGCTCCGCTCCAGGTGTGTGCTGTGAGAGGTGCCCGTGCTCGTGCAGTGATCAGACAGCACAGGCAGGTAAATCCCAGCTGCAGCACCCTCTCCTCCTCCCCTGCATAGCATGGATGGGGCACTGCTGCACCTCCAGCCTGGGCARAGTCCAGGGCTGCAATCTAATGCTCCCCATGCCTTTGGCTCTCCTCCACAAAGGTGTAGATTCAATATAGAGAAAGGTTTAGCTGCTGAAAGCAGGGACAGAGACTCTTCTGCAAAGAGTGATTTGGTTTAAAAAAATATCTGATCATTAATGCATCTCTTTGAAACAACTGAGCTCGGCCTTTGTCAAATCTTGACAGTCCTGGCTTGAAATAGTTATTTTTAGGTGGTGTTCATTTGCAGAGAATTTTCCAGGACAAAGGAGTTCCTTTGAATGCAGCCTGCTGAAACAATRGCAGTCCAGGCACAGGAACCTTATGAATTATTGTGAGTTGGATGTTTTAAAAGCATTTCTTGTGTTTGTCTAAAAAACTGCTCCAATCACCAACCCACTACATAAACCACAAGTTCCAACACCTCCTTCTCCTCCAGCACAGTGTTTGCAAAACCACAAGCCTCCCTAAGCCCAGGTAGCATATCCTATTCAGGATTTACTCAGAGAAGGATGGGAAGGAATATAGGAACAAGGTAAGCACCATATCTTTACTGCTAACAACACAGCATGCTGGGGCTTAAAACCAGCTCATCTCCCACTCTCTGAATTAAATTAAATAGAACTGCAGGCAAGACAYGGCTCTGAGTCTGGACTTCAACCTGCTGCATTGCTCAGTCTGCTTCAGCATCYCCAAGTCTCTCTTGCAAGACACAGAGCAGAGTTTTTAAACCCAAAGCTCAGAAAACATTTTTTTAGCCCGGGGTTTGTCAGGCAGAAGTCAGTGGGCAGATCATTAGAGCAAGTTTGTTCAGCAAAGCCAGCAACACCACTGGGATGCTGCAAGCCAGCAGGACTGTTTGATGGCTTTGATTTCTGCCTTCAAGAGCAGAGATGAGAGGGATCTGTAAAGTCATTGCTATTCTGTTATTTTCCATCCAGAAGACACTCGTGTCCTACAGGAGTTTATACAACCACACCTCACCACAGAATCACAGAATCTTTTCAGTTGGAAAAGCCCTGTAAGATCACAGAGTCCAACCTTCAAGCCAGCACTGCCAAGTCCACCACCAGACCATGTCCCTAAGTGCCACACCTCCAGGCCTTTTGAATCCTTTCAGGGATGGTGACTCCACCCCTTCTCTGGGCAGCTGTTTCCATTGCCTGGCAAGCCTTTTGATGAGGAATTTTTGGTGAACTGCCTTGCAGCATTGTCAGTTTTGGGCTATTGCAGGAGTGCTGTCCATACTCCCCAGGCTCTGGTGGTGGCTGAGAAAGAGAAGCCATCAGCCAGGCAGCAGCAGCAAGCAGGGAAGGCCTAGAAACAGGATGGATATGGAGGAGCACAAAGGAAAATCCAGCATTGTGTGGAACGTGTGTGGAATGTTAGCCAGTGGGTCTCAGCATGCCTGGGCTTTGGTCCAGGAGCCTGAAACAGCAGCTCTAAGAGGTCAGAGAGTTCTGTCTGTCATTTTGGACATGTTCTGCACTTGATCCAGAGCCCTTTTTTTGTTCATTCTTGTCTCTTCTGTATGTTCTTGCTTAGCTAAGCTCTGCTTTGGGGCAAACAGCTGGGGCAAGAGGACGCTGTGCGTGGCATTGCTCTGCCTCTCCTCCAGGCYCTTCCCTCTGGATGTCACACCAGATAAACCCACCCCCAGGGACAGGGCAGCACCAAGGAGGGTCTCCTGCACGCCCATGGCTTTGGGAAGGTCGGGGTTTCACACTGCACAGTGCACTGGCATGCCAAGGTGTGCTGCTCACAGCCCACACTGAAAGAGAGCTGTGCATTCCCACAGCAATATCTGCCCATACTGAAACAAGTGTTCCTTTTCCAGAGGAGCAGCCTCGAGATGGAATTTCATGTATTTATGTGCATTTAAGAGACTCTTCACTCTCTTCCTGCTCTTCCCCCCCATTGTCACAGAGACACACTCCCACCCCTGCTCTCCTCCCTGCAGGTGCACTTTGAGCGAGCAAAGCACCGTGTGATTGCTCYGTGCCCTACATCCCCAGGTCTTGTCATCTGGCAGCTTTTCTAAACACGGCTTTCTTCCTCTCAGCAATTCTGTGGGGACCTTGAGAAATGACTGCAGCAAACATGCCCTGACACTTCAAAGTTGGAGTGCTGACGACTCTTGAAATGCACTTTTCTACTTGTCCTTTTTTTTTTTTTTTCTTTCTCCTATATTCCCCTCACAATTCTAACAACGCCATCTGTGCTGGCACAAGCTCTGGCCTTGAACCTGTGCAAGAGAGTGATCTGGGTCCAAGGATGTTTTCAATATTTCCTGTGATCAAGYAGGGAAAGGCAGAGACATCTATGAAAACCCATGGGAAGACATAAAAAGCAGTCCTATTTTTACACTTTGAAACATGAAACGGCTTAGAGGGGGCCAAATTCTTCTTCCTAAATTTCGTTTTCTAACTCAAACATGTAAAGAAAAACCCACTGCCACACATTCCTGTACAACCAGTAGGGAGCAAAGTGATTGAGGTCTTAAGTGGGCTGGTGACTGRTTGTGCCTTCCCACAACCCTGTCCACGGGACCAACATCCTCAGGAAAGGGGATGAACTGGCTCTACAATAAAATGAAGTCAGCTGAACTTGATGGGGATAATCCAGCCCAACCTTTTGAACTCAGGTTTTTCATCGTCATCTTTCATTTTGCACTCCTGGAATAAGAAATTAAATGTTCCCTAGCATCCTAGCAGGACACACACTGTGAGGAACTCAGCTGTAAACCAGCCAACAGGACGAAATTGCAAAGCCACTTTCATCAAGGTCCTCACTCAGGAATGGGCTGAAGTACCCATTTCAGCTGGGACTGCACTGAGCATCAGAGCCCCGCTCGTACTTGCTCAGACACTGTATCTCGCTGCTTCCTTTTTCTTTCCTCCAGCTCTGGCTGCTGCCTTCCTCCTTCCCCTCATCCCAGTGTCTGTGACCTTCCAGTRCCCCACTAACTCTCATTTTACACCKGCCYGTGGATTTCTCAAAGACAGGAGCCCACAAAACAGCATGCCAACCCCACATTTAGAATTATTTATTTCTTTTCTTTCCTTACAAGACCTCCTTCCTTGYGTTCTCAGACTTCATTCCTGCTTGTTTTTCTCCTCTTCACAGTCTGCAGTGGATTTACGCCCCTCTGGGCACACAGTGGGCTGGAGTCCAGCTGTGACATTCGGGAACTGGTCAGGCTATATGGCCCTGGAGTCACAACCAGCACTTGAATTAACCGCAGCAGCTGCACCTCAAACACCCCTAGAAAACTGCATTGCTTTCAGACAGCTCCAGAGCGAGSTGCCATCCAAATCCCTGACCTGATGAAATGTTAATGGTTGGTAATTTCTAAGGCTTGCAGGAGWAGAAGGAGGCTGGACTAGGGGGCCTCCCGTGTCTGCGCTGATGAGCTGAATTTTAGTCTCCTGTTTTCAGTCCTTTCTGGGCAGTTACTGCTCTTCTGAAAAAAAAMCAGAGGAGAAAGGAGGTCAGATAGCCCAGTAAGGGGATGTTTGGGCCACTTTTTGGCCAAACAATGGTAAAAAGCTCACACAAAACCTTTAGCTCTGTACAGAATTATTTGGRCAYGTTTTAAAATTTTTTATTCTTTTACCACAAGTCAATCATCTCCATAAGGAAAAAACTGTCGTAGAATGAGGATTCCTTTAAATATCAATTAAATATGTGAAAAYATATTTCACTTTCAAAAATCCATAAAGGAAAAAAAGGTTATGTGTTGATATTCCCTAGGTTTTCCTGGAAAGTCTCACTGAATTTGTTCAAACGTAATGCAAACTCACAAAGCTTTTTGGATGTCCTACATGTCATTCTAACAAACGTGTTCTTGCTCCAGACCCCATGGCTGTTACCTGACAGCTTCAGCCTCTCACCTGCACAAGGAKGCTGGCAGAGTGCACTGCCACCTYTGGGGCCAGCTCAGCTCTGGAAATCTGATTTACCCCTCTGCAGAATCCAGCCACAGCTGCAATAACAACAGGAATTGCCCCACTTCAGCTGGGAACCCCTCTCCAGAAATGTATTCTGTACAAATCACTTGCAGGGACATAAAAACATCCCACAACCTTGATTCTCAGTGTTTGTAAAGGGGGTAAAATAGGAGATTTAGAGCAATCATTTCCCTTTTAACAATTTCGTCTTAAAAGAAAATCTTGAGATGTTTGTCAGCCTAACTTGAGATATTTGCTATGTCAATGGATCAAACTGTCCTGATAATAAAAAAATACATATATATATATGAAGGCTCTGAGTTAGTCTTCCTTTTTTGAAAATAATTTAAATCCAAAAAATAACATAGATGAAGCTGCAGAAAATGTCCAGTACTCCAATTCTCAGAGATAAATTCTACATACCCTGTATGTTTGGGGTTTTTTTAATATCAGTTTATTTTGACATGATCTCTGCTTTTTCAGCTGTTGGAAAGGAGAAAAAAAAATCATTCCCAAGGCCATTCAAGATAAACCATAGTTTCCTATCTCTTTTGACTGAAAATACCAATGAAACTTCTTCCAGTTATTCCCCATCTTCCTCTGGTCTCTTCTTATTAGTCTTATCATTTTAGTGCCTCCTTTGATATATAATCCCTTTGTGTTGTGCAATGATAAATCAAAATAAAGTGCACCACTGAATGATTTTATTGTTATTAAAAGGTCAGCGGTAAGAGGGCCCCAACCTATCGCACATCCTAGAGAATTAATGGGAGGTGCATTAACAAAAAGGAGGCACAGTGCTTCTTGAATATGTTTAAAAGCTACTGATGCTTTAGGATTTTTAGTTCCTATATTTTCATTCATCCGTATTCTTATACTTCTCTATTATAGCACTAAAAAYKACTGTTCTCCCATCTTTAGACAAAACAATCYCTCTCTGAGCTGAAKCCAAGGACACCTCACTGCCTCAGAACCCCAAAATATGTGACTACACCGTCCCTGAAGCTGGGCTTTTTGATGGATCTTGCAACACAGCGTGGTCCAGGCTGCAAAGGCTGCAAGGAGCACCTTCCTGTCCTTTGGAGGGGGCTGCAAATGTCATCCCTGGGTGATGGGAACGCTCCTGCAGAAGGYGATGTTTCCCTTCCAAGAGATCCGGGTCCATTACACACAACCAGAGTCCCCACTGTCCCCACCACAGCTCCCTGCTGCCCTGTCCTGCTGCCTCAGCAGCCAGTGGGTGTTGGGAACACCTCAGGAAGGGCTGCTTAGGGACATTAAAACCTTCTTCAGAAGGCTTATCATCCCCTCTCTGAAAAGGCAATGATGTCTGAAAAATGCATTTATTTAGCATTTATTAAGAGCCTGTCAGTAAGCTCTTCCTAAAAGTATATTTAAAATACATCACCATGCCTTTTCCCATCCCTTGCATGAATGCAACAGCCTGATCCTGCAAGGGCTTAGCGTGATGCCCAGGAAAACACCTCCCAGAGTATCAGATTTTATTCCTYTCTGTATTTCAGGAGCAGCAATCTGAGCATTGCCAGGTCAGGGCAGGAAGTGACCAGCAGCAGTTGAAGACATAAAAAGAGAAGGTAAAAAACTGCACAAGAGGCAACACAGAGGGGAATATGGAAAATGTATGGTTCCTGATTACCTAAGAAAAAGAATTGATTAAACACTCCCTCATAGTGGGGATTGACAAAAAAAAAAAAAAAAAAAAAAACAAAAAAAAAAAAAAAAAAAAAAAAAAAAAAAAAAAAAAAAAAAAAAAAAAAAAAAAAAAAAAGGCTGGATTTCTCACTCTGCATTTGAAACCTGCTGGTTTTGGAAAAACCGTAAAAAAAATTAAGCTGCTTATGATTGTAATTTTTCAGTTTTTTGCCCAGCTCATTCATTCACCAGAGTCAATAAAAAAATAAATTTGGATGGAAGACCTCGCCAGAAATCAATAACCAAAGGCAAACAAACACTGACAGAAAGAGCTGCTAAAGGACAGGCAGCAACAGGCAAGTCAAAAYCCCCAAATCCCTGAGTGCACTGTGGAGCGTGGCACGGGCCCAGACCTCCTGTCCTACCAATCTGGGCAGCATCAGGTGATTGAACCCCCGTGCCTCTCCCGTGCTCTCCCTGGAGCAAACCAGCTGCTGCTGGAYATGAAACATCCAGCAGATCTCCTGCCCTGGACCAGCCTCCAGAAACCACMCAATTTTCAGGGACTTTGCCTCCTTCTCCTGTCCTCTGCCACCAGACGGTGCACAGAGCTTCAGGAGTTCAGTTTTGTGTGAAGAGGCCCAGGCTGGCCTCCAAAGGGCTGGGATGTGTGTGCAAGCAGAGGAAGAAGGAATTATCAGRGAGGTGGCAGACGCCTCGTCCCCACCGGCCGTGTATTAGCAAAGCACAYGGGCTGTTTGCACAACACAAACACATCACATGGTGTTTGCTCAAAAATGGCTTGGGTGAGCTATTAACACTTCATTAATACGTGATGAAAGGCAAATTTAGAGAGCTCCCCAAAGTGACTGAGAACTCCTGGGGGCCCATAAATGAAATGATAATGTAATGTAAATAAGGCTTCGGAATACAAAGATTGGGAATTAGCGTGTGATCTAACAAGAGCAGCTGKATATTACCAGAAATGCATTCCCCATCTTCCCTCCACCCTTCCCAGTTTCGTGAAAAGGTGATACTGCAAGATTATAAATTGCACGAAAAAAATTCTGTGTCCAGGAAAAAAAAAAGAGGAGCTGAAAAAAAAATGCAGATATAGATATAGATATAGATATAGATATAGATGATATAGATACAGATGCATCTAATTGTCCTACATGTGCCTTTAGCAGGTTTTTTCCTTTCTCCCTGCTTCCACCCTGCTCCCTGGCTATTTCTGAAAAAAAACAAACAGGGACAGAAAGTGGACCGGTCTGCAGAGGACACAGCCTAGCATTTCAAAAATTGGATTTGATGTGTTTCTTCRGACTATTTTGAAACAGCATTGGTCCTTATCTCACTAAATATTTTACAGCTGCACCACCTGAAATCCCTCGAGGAGTGCCCGTGTTGCTCATTAACTCACTCAGACAGAATTAGCTTGGGTGACACTGTCTGACTTTGGCCAATGACACCAAACACATTTTAGGCAGAGAGTGGGTAGCRAGAAGTCCATTAACATTAATGTCTTTCTAACCATTAAAGAAGCCATTAGTGTTTGTGCTTATTTTTAGTATATTCAGAAAGGACTGAGTGAATCCACTCTCAGTCCCATGAATACGTCTCTGCCCATTTTTAGGTTTTTATTTTGCGTGAGGATTTGGTTCCAGCCTTGAGGTCACTGTGCCACCAGCCATGCAGGAGAACAGACAGATTTTCATGCACACTTGAAGCCAAAGCTGTCAGTGATCCTTTCCAGACCTGTCRTATGTAGTAGAAGAAGCTTTTCCTCCAACACAAGCTGTCCAAGGAGGTGTCCATCCTGTCCACCATGAGGCTCCAAAGCATTGCCATCCATCCCACTAACTGTGATACTTTTCCATCACAGTCAATCAGAGCCATAGGGCTGTGATCCTTCTCATCCTAAGACAGATGGCTAAATTAGGGAAGCTGCTTCGCACTCCAGAATTCCCTGCTCCTCTTCCCTGGCTATGAAAGAGGTGCAGCTGAGCTCAGGTGGTGGCTGCCGTTGGCTGCCATGAGTCTCACCCTCACCAACACCTCCCTGGCCATGTGCATTTATCCCACCCAAGGGAACAGACTGGGAACGTGGCCTCAGAAGATGCCGGCATGGAAGGGAAAGCTTGAAATATTCTTCAGCCGTAGATCTATTCCCTAAAAACAGTTTTTCAGCAAGTAGCTGGGTGAGATTTTCTTGGAGGCTCTGTGAAGAGTCAAGGAAGCATAGAAAGTTAMGTGTCTTTGGGGGAAAAGAAATTTCTGGCTTTCCAAGGGGATATTAATGACTAGCAGATGGTTAAGAGACGAGGAAAAACAGATAGTTCAAGGATGCCATAAAAGAGAAGGACTCCTACATCAGACTGCCCACTGCATTAAAAGATGAGGTATTCCTCCTTTTGTGAATGGAATTCACCGGTGCTGATCTGTTCAGGCCAAAACAAGCAGGTTTATATCCCTGCCCCAGCCAAGCCCCGGCTGCTGCTCCCGTGAGCCTTCACTGATCAGGTCATTGGGCCCATTTCTCCCACCACCACGCTCCTGAAGGYGATTTTTCACAGAAATGCAACGTGAAGTATGTTTTTCATCACTTCTGGCCCTTTACACTCTCATTCCACGTCCCTCTGTGTGCTGGCTAACGTGAGAACAGTAGATCCCGCCTGTTTCCAAACCTGGGATGAAAGTCTGGGGATCTTTTCATCTTTTCACGAGCCAGTTTGGTTCGCCTCGTTATTGCTATTGGCACACGGATCGACAGTCATCAATAGCCACATGCACAGCATTTGCCACGGCTTCTCTGGGTGGCAGGTCCTAACAACAGCAGCCTGCTACTTATTAAGTCAAAGACATCCAGTTTTATGCCAATTGACAGATGTCTGGTTATTTGGCACAAAAACAGGAATTGAATTCCCACGGATGCGCTATTGTATTGAAATACATGTTATTCAAAAATCTAGTTACCTTCACAAAAATGCAAACGTCTACTCCTTCCATGATGAACAGCAGCTCTTTGCATCCTCAGCTGAATTAAAGTAATTTATTTCCTTGTCTCTGAGGGAGAAAGAGAAAAAGAAAAGGTCCAGAATCACGTCCAAAGCTTAGCAAGGCCAATTGCTGACTAGCAAACATCTGTCCCGTACCCAGGCAAACCCCACCAGGGAAGTGCAGTCCTCCCAAGTTTTGGAAAGGAGGAAGGCAGCGCTGCTGGATCTCTGGCTGGAAGAGATCCATGCTGTACACATGGCTTGGATGCAGAGAGCTGCAGGAATGCCACTGCAGTTTAACGCCAACCAGCGGCTCATGTTTTCATCCATTTTCTCTGCACAACACTGCAAGGTTTATAAATCTCCACTTTGCATCCAGAATATTCCTGGAAAACAGATTGTTTATGGCAAGTATTTCTTTTTTTTATTATTTTATTTTTTAAATATAGGTGGGTTTTTTTTTTTTAATACAACATGCTTCCATTGTGTTAATGTATTGCAGAGGACAAATTTCCCAGCTGGTAATTTCCAATCATTTATAACACTGTCGTGAGAGTCCATATTTTTATATCATACAATGTATCTGAAATACATTGGAAAATATAAAATTGTATTAAACTGATAGTAAATACATCTTAACAGACAGATGCACATGCGTGAGAAAAAAWTCTGATTTTTTTTTTCTGCTGCATTATGTCTTTATCTATTCTCCACATATCACTCTCCAAGGCTTTTGCTGGGAGTTTACCACTAGGAAATGAGCACAAGTGAACAGCCTGTGCCGAACAGCATCCGTTTAATTGCAGGTCTTTGGCTCAGAAAATCTCAGGCATTTTTCTGCAACAAGTCATAAAAAGCCCCTCTGTGTTCATTGCTGGACACTGCCCCTGACAGAGCAAGAGACCCAGCCAAGCCTGGTCCGAGGGGCAGCAGGGGAAAGGAGCAGAGCACCAGGCAGTGCTGGCAGCTGGGGGGAATTAGGCACACCCTGGCAGAAGGGATTGGTGACCCGCTGGTGAGCCTGCAGTCAAAGCTGTGCACCTCCTGAAGGCAGCCTCGCTCTGCAAAACTGGCATCATTAGATGCCCAYATCTACCAGCTCTTCAAAACCCACTGCAAGCAGAACTGGCTGCCCAGGAGGCCTCAGCAGTGAGGAAGGTGCTTACAGAGAGGATAGGGAGAGGCGTGAGTACCACCTGCTGACCAACATCCAGCCCTTGTTTCTTCCACCTGCTGCCCCCACACCCCTGAAAATGTCCTGAGCTCCCTTTCACCCACATTGTTCTCTTTCTTTTACTTTTTTTTTTTTTTTTTTTTTTTTTTTTGAGACACTGCAAAGCATTCACAGCAGGCATCACCACTCTCTGCTTGGGGTGGGAAATATTTCCAGATGCTCTTGGAAGCACCTTTGATTCACAGCATGCTTTTTGTTACAGTTAAACAGGGAGAAAAGCATCTCCCTTCCATAASTGTTTTTGTGGGATGGAAAAACTATTCAGACTCCAGGGTGGGGAGCAAATCTACCAGAGTTCACTGTTTTCTTAGATTTTACCCTGTTCCAGATGCTCAAATTCTTCTTCCATCAGTTGTCACTGCCTATTCTTCTCTTGTTACTAGGAAAAAAAACCCAAAACATTTAAATATGAAGCCCCAAAGAGACACTGTTGTGTGTGGAATGTTTTAATTCCACCCTGAAACACCCAAACCAGAAGGTGAGAGGTTTTATAATAATGTATTTTGCATTTAGTGACAAACTCTTTTTACAAAGAGAAGAAGACAGCAAGATCTTCCAGTGTTCCGTCCCGCTTGAAAAGAGGGAGTCAGGGAGGATTCTTTTAAAAGATTTCTTGGACAAAAAATAAAGCGCAAATGTGGCAATATTATATCTGAGAACTGTTTATTGATAAAGAAGGGTAAATGTTCCTACCACTTCCTACCAAGGGGGATAGACAAGGGAACAAAGAGGGTGCCATTGGCACCTCCAGGATTAACCATGGTAGCGGGGATTTGTGAGTTCCTCGCAGCCCCAATGTGCCAGAGGCACAGGCACAGGTGGCATGGACTCGTTTAAGGAGCAGCAGCCTGGGATCAGTGAGGTTCAGAGGAGACAGCCTGGTTGCAAGATTCTTAATCCCCAGGCTGTGATGCGTCAGGATTTTCCTCCAGCTCCTGCCTCTGCTGTCACACTGTCAAGTGGGCATGATAACTTGATGTTTGGACAAAAATAGTAGTTTCCTAATCTTGGAGCAGAATTAAACACACCATAAAGACGTGGGCAAAAGGTTTTAACCCACATGCATGTAAAAGCCGATACTGCTTGTGAATTCCAAGCCAGCCTGCGTGGCTGGAAATGGCAGGGTCACTGATGCTTCCATGAAAATCGAGTGGTTTAGCTGCTCATTCCCTGGGAAGAGGCCTCCACATACCCTTGCTACTCAGGGCATTAACCCACCAAGTTCATTCCATCTTTCCCTGAACAGGCATTTCATGAGCACCCACAGGAATTTGGAGGCTGTCTCATCACAACTCCCCATGCAGCTTAACCTCCAACCACTCGGGATTTTCCAAAAAATGCCATCATGAATCATGTGCTCTTACTGTAATGCAGTTAAGAACGAAAGCGTGTTCCTATAAGRCATTATTGTTTGCAACTAAAGCACACGTTATGGTTGTAATTAGTACACCGAGAAAAAATCTGGCCTGTGACAAGTGCAGGTGATCATGGTAATAATACCTGCACAGATGCAGTCCCTGGACCATAGCCCAGTCTCAACTCCAGTGGTAATAAACCAAGGCAACTTAATGAAATTGATTGAATTTGTTCTATGTAACAGAAAAAAACGCCCCACTGGAWATTTTTAAACATATGTGCATGTGCATGTGGATTTTAGATGGCTTGATAAATCCACAGCTATCTGGATTTGGAAGTAATCTTATTCTGTCTGTAGCCAACATGCTGGAAAAATTACTTTATGGGCAGCAAGCATAATTCTTCTTAGCYATAAATCAAAAGCTTTTCAGGCGGGAAAGATGCATCATGGAAYTTTTTTAATTCCTCTTCCCAGAAAGCCTTACATGCAAGGCCACATTAAAAGACAWTTTCAAATGAAAACTGAAAATAGTTTCAGAAAATAAGACAGCAGAAAGCACATGGGGCTTGGTTTGATGCAAAGGCAATATAGGCTGAAGGAGAATATTACCAGTTGTGATTCATCTGATGCAAGAGACTTTGCTTTCAAAAATAAAGCCGCAYGGCGGAAGGGTCAAAATTGTACCTGGGATTTAGGATTATGTTATCTGCTGTTCTGCAACATGGTGACAGAGAGAAAAGTCTCACTGATAGCGCTGATAGCGGGAATTGGAGACTGAGGATTAAGCAGCGGCGCAGATAGCAACCAGCTTTCTTCTGTTAGCCTTTCATACATTGCAAAAAAATGGAAAAGGATGCCTGCCCACGTGAGCCAGACATAAGCTCTGTGCCCTGTTGATGAAGCGCTGGGCTGGAGACAGATAACTACCAAAAAAGTTGTGTTATTATTTAAACCAGGGGTGAAGGAATGTCTGAGAGCTTCTCAGAGGGRTGTGGTTTGGAGGAAAGTTTCCAAAACCCAGGAAGCACAGCTCTRAAGAGGAGGCTTCAACCCTCTGAGCCCAGGCTGTCCAAGAGGACCCTCTCAAGCCAAGGGCACTSTTCAGCTGCTGTGAGCTAAGGCTTTCAGTGGTGCTAGAGATGTGGTWGTGGTGAACAGACTTCTGCCTCATGGTATTCCCTCCTCCTTTTGGGACAGCAGAGCTGCTCAGCATCCGTGTGCTCCTCCAAGGGCTGCTGATAGCCCAGAGTCTCGTGGCAAAGCCACATGGGTGGCGTCTGCTCCAGCTTAGGAACTGGCCCTCACACAACCCAAACATTTCTGTGCAGRCAGTGCAATCTCCCTTATGCACCAGAACCCTCAGATATAAACAGAGGGTCCCTCTGACGATCCACAGATTGAAATCTGCTGTGAATCAGACTGTTTTCCAGGCATTTGTCCATGGAGCAGAGGGTGTGCAGAGGAAAGGCTCCACTCCCCATATTGGCACCACTCAGCCCGAACAGCTCTCTCTAACTCAGAAGATATGCAGACCAGACAAGCAGTGGAAGGAATTTTGCAAGGAAACAGTATTAAAAATTTCAAAATTCACTTAACCCTGCACAACCAGTAAAGAAAGTGCTATAAGCCAGTCATACGAAAAGCATTAATTACCCTGCTTTGAATTTGAGGGGTTGGGYGGGTGACTCCTGGAGGTCCCTTCCAACCTCAACTACTCTATGAATGAGGGTTAGAACAATGCTTGAATTTTCCAAGCCTCCTTTCACCAATAAACSAGCCTCAAACTTCTTTCCAAGTGCTAAGCTGCACCACACCCCATCAAGATCGTTTTTGTGCATTTTAAGAGCTTAAGGCTCTGCTGGGTTGAAAAAACAGATCCAAACCTCACAAGTGCCAGCAGAAGAGCCCAGCTCTTGCAACACCCAAACTAATGCCATAGCCTTACTTATTAAAGGCTGCTCCCTCGCCAGCTGCAATCCCAGGCACAACTGTGCACTGCGGACGCAAGTGCTCCRCGCTCGCTGGGATTTGCTCTTCCCACAGCCAGACGAAAAATCCCAGCCAGACCCCGTGATGGGAGACAGATGCGGAGCCACTCCCAACATCCTGCTCTGCCTCACGCACTGTCTACCACATCACCACCTAAATTGGTTCCAGCATCATCCTGGCTTGCTGATGAGGTGCAAAGCAGACGAAACGCAGCCAGATCGCGCCGTGCCAGCTGGAAGAGGTGAGCTTTGGTGTACGGCAATAGACTCGACTCAAACGGGCGCCATCAGTCAGATCTCGTGCCAGAATTTCAAAATACCTCTTTACAACACAGGAATCATTTGGGCCTTGAATTTATCCTCGGTGCTGCATTACATTACCCACTAAYGTTACAGAAGTAGATAGGAATGTCCAGGTTGAGCAAGAAATTGCTTGAACAGRTGCCAACACATCCCAGAGTAACTGGGTAAGAAAGCCAATGTCCGTG